AATATTATAATTAACAATTACAAAACAGTCTTAATTTCTATTACCATAGTTTCGGGAGCGGTAGGTTGGCTTAAAAATGAACTACAGTAAAACAAAAATACTGGGCCGAGACAAGACAAACATAACAATACAAAATCATACCATAGAAAATGTTAAACATTAAGTAGGTATATCTAGGTCATGGCATCAAACTAGGAAAACCGAATCAAGATGCTGAAATTAAAAGAACACAACTGGCATGGGGCGCTTTCGGCAAACTAACATAAATCTTGAAAAACACCTCCATTTGAAATGGCGCTGAGCAGGTCACGTAGCCCGATATAATGACAATAGTGGACACAGAGAATTCTAGAATGGAGACCAAGGACGACAACAAGAAGCATGGGAAGACCTCAAAAAAGATGGGTAGATGACATAAGAGCAGTGGCAGGCAAACATTGGATTAGATTGGCGCAAGATAGAGAAAATGATGTAAAAAGATGTAAATAGATGGAAAATAATTGACAACGAGAGATTTGTGCAAAAAAGCATTTTCAACACTTGTGGCTATTGAAACAAACTATCGGAATAAACTTGATGGTGCTAGTGAGTTACACTAATGAGTGCTCTTACTAAAACTCCCTAATCTCTAATCTTTTATTAATAATTTTGATATTTTATAAAAACTGATATTATTGTGTCTTATGGCAGTATAAATAAATGTTTTGCTTTCTATGTAATACTTATTTGTTTTTATTTTGTTCCTAGTCCCATACAATTTATTGTTAAGAGGTGAGGGCGCGAGAAACTTTCATTTCAACAAAAGGGGGCGTGGTACAAAAAAGTTTGGGAACCCCTGCTCTAGTGGCTGTTACGTGACGATCAGTTCGGTAATCGGGTAAATGCAAGTACTTGTTGAACTACGATGGCCCATGTTGGGCTTCGATTATACAATCATTTACCCAAATACTTAAGATTTTACATTAAAACTGAAATTTTCTTCAGAAAAAAGAAGTTAGATCAATACATATTCACGTGCTCCTAGTAGACTTGCTATTTATTTATATAGTTAGTTGTTCGTTATTTATAATTTTATAAGATGACTAACGACAAAGGAGACAGCTACTTAATATAAGTTAGAGTATTTCTATAGTTTATATATCCTTAGCCATGTGCCTAACCTGCGAATTACACAACAAATTGACTGCGTGAAACTTCAAGTTGTCATCAAATGATGTCAGTTGTCAGATAATCGTTGCAACATCGAATGTTGTCGAATTATTGTCTCATAGGGCGATACAAATTATGAACATGCGTATAAAAAATGGTACAAACAGTTTCGTGAAGATTTCTGGGCCATAAAAAATTGCGTGTTGAAAGAAACCTTATATGCGTTTTTTTTTTAGAGGTATACAACTTTGAATTATAATAAAACAAAGATGATCTTTATAAATTGGCATGAAATTGACTTTATTCGAAAGGTTTCTTTTGACATTATAATTTAAATATTAGATATTTCTGTCTTCCTTTACATGAAATAGTCTGGCAGCGTTAAATCGCACGATCTTGGAGGTTAATCTACGGTCGGAAAGTAACACTATGCGGTTACCAAACATTTCCTGCAATAAATCAATTGTGGTACGAACTGTGTGACATGTTACGTCGTCTTATTGAAACAACAGCTCCTGCACATCATGGTTGTTCAATTGGGGAATGAAAAAGGCAGTAATCATGACTCTATAGCGGTCATCATTGACTGTAACGTTCTGGCCAGCATCGTCTTTGAAGAAGTACGATCCAATGATTCCACCAGACCATAACGCACACCAAACAGTGAGTTTTTCTGAATATAATGGTTTCTCAACACACATTTGAGGAATATCCTAACTCCAAATATTGCAGTTTTGTTTGTTGACGTAGACATTCAACCAAAAGTTTCATCGCTAAACAAAATTGGAAAATTGGAATCAACGGCAATCTCGTTTTGGACCCATTCACCGAATCTGCGAATCTACGCCTAAGTAGGTGATGATGTACCATTAGTTCTTGCATGAGTTGGATTTTGTAAGCACGCAAAGCAAAATCTTTCCAAAAAAACTTCCATAAAGTCGATGGATCCAATCGCTGTGCACGATGGCAGATAGACTGATTCGGATCTTCCTGTATGCTACGCTCAACAACTAGCAGCAACAACTTCTTCTGTACGCACTATACGACGTGTCTGTTGATGCATATTATCATTTAGAGTAAACTAGCTGCAAAAACGTTGCATGATTAATCGAAATACTGGCTCCGATTGACTGTTATTTGACCATAAAATGGACGTACGCGTATTTAAAAAAAAAGTGTACAATTTGGAAGCGTTGGTTAGGCGTAAAGTCTATTCATGCTGAAATGCCAAAACATAACTCACTTGACGGCTGCCAAAATGGCCAACAGTTAAAAAAGTGTTACTACATTACATTTCTATACCTCAAAAAACACCTTTTATACAAATATATGTCAACTATACAAATCTTCGTATCTCTCAGTAAAAACAGGATAAAAAATAAGAGGATAATATGTTGATGCCATATAAATTCATCTCCATACTCTCCACATATTTAGTACCTGTTTTAAATACTTTACTGCTACATAGAAACAATGTTCCTTGAAAATCATAATAAAATACTTTTTGTATAATTTCCCTTGTGACTGACTGGCAACAAAGATGCATAGACAATGTTTACAGTGATTTTGTTCATGTATGACTGTAAGTTAAATAGAAATTCCTCACATAAACTATGTGATTTTATTGTCACGTAACTTGTTTTATGTTTTTAATCATAAATAAGTTAACTGTGGTAATGACATTCATTTCTTTTTTATAATTCCTTGACCTTGGCATTTTAGTATGATTACAACAAATCAAGCAATAAAAAATACAGAAGAATGTGATATTACTGAAACAAGTATTTTGTTTGGTAAGTTGTTTTTAAGAATTAGAAGTACAAAAATGTTAATGGAAGAACTTCATACTTTTATAATGTTGTCTTTTTTTCTTAAAAGGAAAGTTGTCTATTGTTGTTTTGAGTATTATATAAATAAAGGTTATACAGTTAAAAAGATATGACTAGATAAAAGTGTAATCTTTGTTTTGACAGATGTTTTCAGATGGATTATCTAGGGGAATAAAAGCATCCTGGGATAAAGCCAAAATATGACTGTTTGCTGTATTTACTAATGTAGATGGCTTTTTAAATGGTGATTACTAACATTTTAGTCAATTTACAACAATGATTCATAAACATATGAATGCTGAAGTTGCTGAAGATAATTTTGAATAAATATCAAAGCCAATTCCAGCAGATTTCTTAATAATTTTAGACAAGGCACCATACTATTCGAGATCTAAAACATTAATTACAACTGCTTGGACAAAACCGAAAATAATTCAGTGGCTTTCAGAGAAAGAATAACTATTTGAAGATAATAAGTACAGTAAAAAACTATTGTCAAATACAAACATCAATTTTTAAAATATCTTTTTTTATCTTTTTCAATCTAAATTAGAAAAGCAACTAAATGAGATGAAAAGAAATATGGATGTAGAACAAGAATAGAACAACCTCAAAAGGATAATAAAAACAATTGCTTATGGAGTATTAGGAACAGAGAACAAGGACAAAAACACCTCGAACCACCATGGATGACAGAAAACAAAAGAAATGATTCAAGAAAAAATCAAAATATATAAGAAATCAGTTATATAGAAATTGAAAACAAATAAAACATCTAGCAATAGAGGAACATATCAAAGGAAAAACGGAGAAGTACGCAATCAAATAAAAGAAACAAAAAACAATTTCTGGGAACAAAAATGTCTCCAAGTTGAAAATTTAATTGGTTGTTCTTAGACTACAGAAGCATGGAGAACTATCAATAATCTAAAGAAAACACCCATAACTCCTTAAGCAACTTAATTCCTATAGAAAAGTGGGAAAATCACTATAAAAATTTACTCCAAGAGTCCAGATTGGAATATATGGGAGAGGAATACAGTACGGAGAGACAAACAAATAGTAACATTAATACTAATAACAACGAGGTCCATACTGCGTTAATTAAAATGAAAAACATGCGATCTCCAGGACTTGGCAATATAGCTGTAGAGTTACTTAAAGCAGGAGGTCTACTCCTACTAGAACGAATAACTTTTCTAATGAATCAATGCTGCCAACAAATTAAAGTACCATCTGAATGGAAAACTGCTCACCAAGTGTCCGTGACAGACATTCTGATATTTCAGAAGTTCAGCTTTTGGATGCAATTCAGAAAATAATGAATTCTACAGAAAGGGAGAAATCATTTATTCATAGCTGTCCCAGCGACAAATGGTTTCACTTGTTTTTGAGAAGACATCCAGAAATATCCCAGAGTGTCACAGAATTTAACTCCCAGTCAGAAAAATATAAGTGAATACAATTTGAAACAGTGGTTCAGTCAAGTTGAGGAATATTTAAGTCAGTTTAAATTTATATACAAAATATAACAGTTTTGGTAACAGCTAATACTGCTGGAAAAATTGCCCCTCCAATGAGCGTATTGGCATGTGAAAGAATTCCATCATCTGTATCACATGTATTCCAAAGGAATGGGCTCTGGGAATGTCAGATAATGGATGGATGTGTTCTAGTACATTTTATGAATACATTACCAATATATACATGATGAAGAGTCTGTTGAGAGTGTGATGACATAGACTTTTATAAAGACCCTAAGAAATTTGACAATTAACTCATAGAGAACTTAGTGTGGGAAACTATTTACTTGTGGATTTCATAGGAGGTAAAAGAAAATTAACATACAGATATGTTGTGATGAAAAAGATATCTCTTTTGTTAACGAAAATAGTATTTTAGGCATACTCCCAACACCTATTATTTTATCCACTTTTATCCACATTTTATCCACAGCGGATATATTTGAGGCCTAAAACATGTGGAAAACATTAGATATATAATTCAATTTATTTTTTTTTTCAGTAGAATTTTCAATAGAAAACAAGATTTTTCAGTAAAATGTTGTTATTTATTTATGGCAAAAATTGGATGGCAATAATTGGTATTTTGAAAAATTTTGTGGCAATTATGGGTTTTTTGTCTTTATATGGTTTTTAGCTTTACCTTTCTTATAGCTGCAATGACTGGTCATTTCCCTTAGTATAATTAAGAATAAGGGAAGAGCATGATATTGAAAAACAAACAATAATACCAATATATTTTATCTTATGGACTCTCATATGTACCATTATCATTTTACCAACTAGTTGAAGCAAATGTAAAATTTGGAAGAAATACACAAGAACATGTAGGTTTATAAATGACATTGCTGTTCGCAGATAGCGAAGAAACACTATAAAGTCTATTTATAAAGAATTTCGGAATGAAAACAAAAGTTTTACTTTTGAGTTAAAGTACTTAAGAGTTAGCTATGTTTTCCATAGTATTTAAGGCATGGATGATGACAAAAACTTTAAAAAACAATTGATGGCATTTGAATGGTAGTATGTATCATTTACAAATACTGATAATATAATGAATACAACAAATATTGAAGTACTCCAAAGAATGAGAAAAAATAAAGACTAATTAACATGTTAAGGAAAGAAACATTAAATAGTTCAAATGTACACGAAATCAAAAATGCAACTTACTACAGCTCAGTATTGAAGGAAAGATTTAATGTAAAAGAGAACCAGTAGATAAACAAATCCCTGACTTCTAATGAAATAACCATTAAGACCTACATGTTCCTAATGGACATACTAAGATCAAAATAAGAATTACTGAATGGTCAAACTGACACTGATCAGAAGAAAAATAAATGAAGAAAATGGGAGGAACCATATACATAAGTGTTATCATTTAAATGATACACAATAATCATAGTGAAGTTGGGGCATATCCAGGCACATGAAAGGCTAAATGAATTATGTAAAAATGCAGTTAGGGTACTACTGTAGTTAAGGGGTTGCTATATGTTCACTTTAACTTATATTATCAGTACATATAAGAACTTTTTGCAGTACAGCAAGGTTCGTTAATGATTTAAATGAATCAATATAATAAAAAATAGTAACAATAGTCTTAAGAGGAAAATTATTTTCTCTGCGTACTAACAATAAGTGGTCAATTTTGTACAAAACAAATAAATTATAAATAAAGATCCTCAAACGCATTACCTGACGTCACAAGTCATTGTCCTCGGCACAAAGAGTCACTGCACCCTATAACATGGACTGCATAGATGAGTGCAGTTTTTTTTATAAAATTCACCGTGCGTCCATACTAGATTCGGATTGGGATCCGTGATCCGATGAACTACTACTCGAAATTGTCTCTGAAGTTTTAATTTTTGGTTTATATTCTGTAATTACAACGGTAACACTGTTTACTGTAACCTCCCTTGTTTGGGCACTGCTCCTATCGATGTTTTTCAACCTGGGCGGATGGCGACGTTTTTTCATAGATTTCTTGTCTTTTTTCTCCTTTTTCTGGTTGCTTGTTGCTGGCAAGAATTGGCTGGCTACCTGTTGGGCCACTAATTGAGGATTAATTCTAGGTTTTCGTGTTGAAGTTCCTTTCCTAACATCACACATTAAACATTTGAAAGCTTCGGCTGTGTTTCTAAAAGTACACACACTGCAATCCCAGAAATTATCTTCTAAAACTTTAGCAGAACGTTTGGCCCTTCTTATGGGGCTTTTTTTATTATCCATTTCAAGGTAAATTGCACTAAAAACTTAATATTTTTATAAAAACTGACAACTGCTTGCTGCGAATGGCGCCATGTTTACTCGCTGTCGTTTGACAAGCGAGGTTGCCGGTTATAACTTTGTAACATTCTTTTTCCAATATCAATAATAATAATAACAAGTTATTTTATGGACTAAAAAATGTATCTAAAGTAGAAAAAACCTACGCTTTAATGAGATTGAATATCATATTATTATATAATACCTGAAGCATCTGAAGGGATTTATAGTATATAGTAAGTAGGGGAAATCAATCCAAATAACTATATAACATTTTAGAACAATAATAGAAAAAAGAAAATATTAAATGAAAACATAATACAAAAAATACATCAAAGTAATGGGCGTAAAAAGAATTACAACACTAATAAACATTCGACACATTAAAAAAGAAAAAATATCAAAGAGAAATATCTATGAACAAAACCTTTCAATAGTATGTTAAGAATTTGAAGTAATAACATTACATCAAGCGTGATAAGAATGCCTAAAGTGCATTCCAGGACGACAAAAAACGACATAAACACAAGAAAAAGAATAGGAAGCAAGCTTAATATAGAAAAAATGCCTAATTATATACATAAAAAAAGATCTTATTGCTACGTCTCCTTTCGAAGGTTGGACGAAATCTACTGCTCAAAGAAAAAAATCTGCACGAAAGATTTCTGCAGATTGATGAGTGGTCAAACTATCTCCTCATGTACTTCAGCCAAGAGTTCTATTGTTCTTTTCCATAGAACTTTACCTTTCAATATGATTTGAAGTAATTCAACCAACCTTTCACCTCACATATGACCCAAATCTAAAATAAGATATGGTTGGTCTATTTTTATTAATAAATAAACATATCTGAAGTTAATTTTAACTAAATTAAGTATTTATTTATAATAATATAACGTTGGTTTTATAGTGTAGATATTTTGTATTATTTTATGAGTTTGCCGTATTTTGTCAATCTCATGGCAACGTTGAGCACGGTCTAACAACTGATTTTGGTGCATAGAATTGTGGCAGCAACGTAGATGCATTCAATAGACAGTGGCGTATCAAAGTTATAATTCAAATAATTATTTTATAGATAAATATAACAGAGGTTTATTTAGAGAATTTGTGGTATATTTTTTTGTCCTTTCTTGAAATAATTCAACTCATCTAGGTTATAATAATAATAATGTTTATTAATTTCATGTAGGTACATTGTATAAATGGGATTTAGAGCAGGCCGTTCATGTACAGATAACATCTTCTGTCTTAAACAAATTATAGAAAAGAAAATTGTGACAAATTGAGAGTTACATATGACTTTTGTAGACATTGAGAAGGCATATGACACATTCCCTCTAAATAAACTATGGGAAGTCCTGGGCACATCAAACATTGGTTAGTGCTCCCAAAGATCTATATTATGGTTCAAACTCCCAAATGAAATTCGGAAACCTCTTAGCTAATAATTTGCAGTTACTAAGGGTCTCAGACAAGGATGTTGTATCTCTCCGACTCTATTTAAGATTTATATCTCTGCAGCTCTGAAACAATGGAAAAGGAAAGTCAAAGGAATGGGTATACAATTGAACGATCAGGATTACACATGTACTTTACAGTTTGCAGATGATCAGGTGGTGATCTCAAATGACAAAGACGACATGGAATACATGCTTAGAAAACTAATTGAAGTATACCAGAAATGGGGATTAAATATCAATTTAGAAAAGACAAAATACCTCTCAATTGGAGCTGAAGCAGAACAACTAGATATCGATGACAATCAAAAAATAAATCCATGTGACGAATATAAATACCTGGGCGTCATCTTCGACCGTAGTGGAAAAGACGAACGAGAAATAGAACATCTAATTGTACAAGCACGAAGAGCTATAGCATGTTTGAACGGAGTTCTATGGAGTAAAGAAATATCAAAGAAAAGAAAATGGAACATCTATGAGACAATGGTTAAAACTAGCCTACTTTGTGGAGCTGAGACATGTAGAATAACCGAGAAATATAAGAAAAAGGTCGAAGCCACGGAAATGGATGCCATCAGAAGATCGAATGAGAATATCAGGAGCCGACAGAATACGAAATGAAGTGATAAAACAACAAATAGGTATAGAGGGCACTATAGTTGAGGATATTGAGAGAAAACAGCTCATATGGTATGGGCATGTGAGCCGAATGGGGGACGAAAGATTGCCTAAAAAAACGATGATGTGGCAACCCCCAGAGAAAAGAAGTGGCGTTTGGGAGTCGGACAACGTCGTAAGACGTTATAAAACCGAATATATATATATATATATATATATATATATATATATATATATATATATATATATACATTGTATAAAAAAGAAGTATGTTATTTACACATCAAACAATGAACATCTGATATAGTCTAGCAAGATATCTAAGGGAGTCATTAATATTCAGGCCATAGGGGTGCTGTTGCTCCAATGTGTGAAATTCCATAAACAATGGATCTACTTGGTTTATGAAATGATCCCTTGTTTATGTAATTTTACACCTTTAACAATAGCAGCACACTGAGCTGAATACTAATGTGTCTCTTAGATAGCTTGTTAGACTATATTACCAGTTAAAACCAAAAGCGATCGAGAACGGGCATAATGTTTACATTGTTTATTGATACAATAATAAAGCTAAATATAAATAAATAATTAATTCTAATTACACAATTAAATTATACTTACTTCAGTTTGTACAACTATTTTTATATTTTCATGGTGAATATTGCCTGTACTTATTTTGATTTTATGACTTTCGTATAGTCAATATATTTACTAAACACAATCCAAGAATTTTGTCGTTTAATCCATTAAATTTTGCATTTAGCAGCGCTCCAAATTGAGAATATATTTTTCAAATATTGATGTTATCATTACTAGTAAGTTGAGAGTAGTTAGATATATTTTATACGTATCAGGTAAGGCCTGATACCTCATACTATTCAGTGTGATGAGTCATTCAGTGTGACGAGTCATTCACCGAGCGATTGCCGGTATAAGCAATCCCCCACTTACTGACCAACGGCTTTGGGCGGATGAGTTGGTAAGTGATAGGGCACTCTTTGGTCCTGAGGTTGTGATATCAGCCTCGAAGGCGGATGAACCAAAGATTTGATCAACGGCATAAGGATGGGGAAGCACAAGTAGGGCAAACATTCCATTAAAGATCCACAGCGATACGCTTTAGTCAATCAATCATGGCAATGCTCAATACTAAAATAAATTCAGAAGTAAGTCCTTGGATCGGTTCTCCGGGGAGGATAGTTTTGAGTCTACCAAAAGATAATAAATTGAAGTGCAGAAAGAATATCAAGATCTGCACATGGAATGTCAAAACTTTATACAAAGCAGGAAAAACCACAATTCAATACAGGAGATGAAGAAAATGCATATTGAAATCATGGGAATAGCAGAAACAAGATGGCCAGATTCTGGAGAAATACAAATAGAAGATCACAAGGTATATTACTCGGGAAAAAGTGATGGATTACATGAATAAAGAGTAGGAATAATTGTATCACCTAAGGTTGCCAAATGCGTTACTAACTTTACACCATTATCAGAGAGAGTGATTTTACTACAAGTAGAAGCCAACCCTATTAATATAAATATCATCCAAGTCTATGCTACTACAGCAGACAAAGAGGAGGAGGAAGCAATTGAGTTCTATCATAGCATCAACAGTATCATACAGAAAATTTCTCGACAGTAAGTTCTCATCATTATGGGCGATTTTAATGCCAAGATTGGAGCTGGAGATAAGACACAGTACATTGGAGCAGATGGACTTGGAGTAAAAAACGAGAGAGGAGACCTCCTAGAACAATTAGCGGAAGACTCAGAACTAGTTGTCACCAACACATTCTTCTAATTATTACCTCGCAAGCTGTACACGTGGAAATCCCCTCAAGATAAACCCGGGAGAATTATTAGGAATCAACTAGACTACATTTTGTGTCATCAACATCGTTGTTTTCTTCTTTGATTTTTTTAAGCAGACTACATTAAAACGCAAGTTGCAGCACCAAATACTACGTTTTCCAACCCGTCCATATTGAGAACTGAGGTTAGTACAACTTCTGTGTGCTACATTGTACGTTTACAAAAGTTATGCACAGCTTTGATGGTGGAGACAGAATACCTTAAGAACGCGTCTTCAGATATCGTGGTTTGAGTCTTATAAAATTTACCTTCACTTTAACTTTACCTTTACCTTAACTTTTTTTGTCACAAATCACCGGATTTTTTCCATTTTGTCCAACCGGCCCTAGCTCAACCTCATGATTGATTATATTTTTATTATATAAAATTATGAATGTTGGGCCACCCTTATAAAATATTCTCGCAGATGAAATGGAAACTAGGGCCGCTGGCACCGGCACCATGGCGAGCCAGTATCGGTAGCGATAGCTTGGCAGCGGCTGGATGTTTGCGGTCGACACGCAATGCAGCCTGTACAACCGGCAATGTTGCGTGTTGCGTCATAGTTCTACGGACGAAGGATTTCTTCTAGGGTTTGGCGTTCGTTATGATTCGAATTATAGAGGTTGGATGATAATACAAGGATAGTTAGAAATCAAAGTTCATTTTTACTCTATCAATCAATTTAAAACAATGTACAGAAATATAATAATATTGTAAGATATATTGAAACTCATTAATATTGTAAGATATATGGTAAACCGACCTAATAACGGCCCAGTTAAGGAATATTTGACTTTAGACGTAAATATTAAGTAAACGAAATAATAGAGAAAATGGATTTAACTCTATAATACGCGATTTTTTGTATTGTAATAAAAAAAATATTTTTAATTGCATTTAAGTATAACCTTATGCCTGAAAATGGTAAAAAAAAATCTAGTTTTTAAAAAAACAATAATTTTTTGAAAAATCTTGTAATCATATTATGATACATAGCGGAAATTTTTACAAAACAAATTTTAATTGATTGTTGCTAAGTATAATATCTTATAATAACGAAATATCTAAAGTGAATGGAATTTATGAAATCAAATATTATTTTTGTT